CTGCACCATCTCAGGGTCTACGCATGGTAGTCTGGCTCCTTGCTGCTGCCTCTCTACAACCCCAGTGAGAGACTTGTCGTGCCCCTCGCTTAGGAACACTGAGGCAAAGAACTCGTTGAGGAGTTCAGCCTTGTCCCCTCTGTCCGGCACCAATTGTTTCTGCCCATTTAGCAGGGGTCCTATTCCTCCCTGGGCCTTCCTTTTACTCCCTATATATCCAAAGAACAATTTCTTGTTGTCTTTTACTTGGCATGCCATCCTCAGCTCCACAGCAGCTTTGGCCCGTCTAACTGCCTCCCTACAAGCACGAGCAGAGGAGGTATATTCGTCTTTGGTGATCTCTCCCTGTTTCCACTTTTTATGTGCTCCCCTTTTGGCCCGTAGGCTGCCCTGGATTTCTCTGGCCCCTTTCCCCCTATTTCCCTGCATCGGGATCGTCTCCCTCCGTGCCCGAAGGATCGCTTCCTTGAGGCACGGCCACCCTTCCTGGGCTCCCATCTCGCCAGATCTCTTCCTCTGCAGTGCGTCATCGACTACACGCCTGAGCTCGCTGAAGTCAGCCTTCCTGAAGTCTAGCACTTCCACCCTAGTAGTTGCCTTTCCCACTCGACGCCTTATGGTGAATTCTAGTATTTGGTGGTCACCGTCCCCCAGGTGACCGCTGATCTGTAGGTCCCCTACCATGTCATCCCCCAGTGCCAGTACCAGGTCCTACCTTCCAGCATATCTGCTACCCCCCAGCTTGGTGTCACCTGCAGACTTGCTGAGGGTGCATCCATCCCATCTCCCAGGTCGTTGATGAAGACGTTGAACAAAACGCCCCAGGACCGACCCCAGGGCACTGCACTCAATACCAGCTGCCAACGAGACATGGAGCCATGGATTACTACCCTGAGCCTTCTCTGCATCCTCTGTCACCACGTTGCCTCCCCCTCCAGTAAGGGACCCGACTTTCCCTGCTCCTCCCCTTGTTCACAACACGCTTGTGGAAACCCTTCTTGTTCCCCTTCACCTCCCTTGGCGCCGCAACTCCAGCTGCGCGTTGGCCTTCCTGACTTCATCCCCGGTTGCTTGTCCGAGTTTCCACTTACAAGCTTTCTTTTTGTGAGTTGGCTCTCTGAAGAGCTCCCTGCTAAGCCAAGCTGGTCTTCTGCTTTTCTGAAGTGCAGGGTCCTTAACTCCGCTGCTCTCCATCCCGCCTTCCCTCAGGATCCTGAACTCAGTCGTCTCGTGGTCGGTGCTGCCCGTGTCACCGTCCATGACTGCGTTGCCCAGGTCCTTCCCCAGCCGGTATTTGCACGTGCCGCTCTGCCATCGCGTGCGGGGCTTTGCTGCTGTCCGTGTCGGATTGCTTCTCACTGCTCGTGGCCCGTTTCTCCAGCAAAGCCGGGTCCCCCTGGACCCCAGCCCTGCCCTCCACGGCATCTGCAACTCCACCCAGCCTGCAAGCTTGCTGGCCTTGCATTCGGCCCCATCATCCAAACCATTCGTGACGCTATTAATCAGGACAGAGCCCTGGGGAGTCCCCCGCGTGCTTCATCCTCCCAGCTGGAAATAGCCATTGAGGCGGCCCAGTGGTCCAACCAGTTGTGTATCCGGCTTACAGGACTTTCTGCGTTTCCTTCGCTGTGACATGGGATGTCCTGGGAGAGTGCCAGAAGCCGTGCTCAAGTCCAGGCGGAGCGCATGCCCTGCTCGCCCCCACCCAGAGCTCGTCACCCTCTGCATCCGAGGGGCCGTCGGGTTGCTCAGGCTGGACTTGCTCTCCGTGAATCCACGCCGGCTCCCCCTGCAAGCAGCTTGGAGCGGAGCGGAGGCCCGCGCAGGCCCGGGGCTGTCCAGCACGCTCGTTAATGATGCGGCCGCTGGAATTGAGAGCTGGAGCAAGTTTGCGGATGACACAAAGCAGGGAAGGGTTGTGAGCCCGCCGGTCAGCAGGATCCCGAGGGGTTGGGGCTAACGGGATGACGTTGGATACGGACAAACGCAGGGGGCCCCCTCGGGCAGAACAATCAAACGTACAGTTCTGAAGGGGGGAGTCCTGGCTGGAGGGCCGCAGAGCGGAGCGGGATCCGGTAGATCCAAGGCTCGTCAGGAGTCTGCAGCACGACGCAGAGGGTGGCTGCGGGTTCGGGCTGCGACTAGAGAAGTGTGGGGTGCAGAGACGCGGCTCTGGGCTCCAGTTTAACAAGGACGTGGAGACGGGAGAGGGGCCGGACGCAGCGAAGATGACCGAGGGCTTGAAGGGAAGTCACAGAGGAGAAGCTGGGCAGGTTCAGCTGATAGCAAAGGGGGGACATGACAGCAGACACCCGTCTATTTGCATCGTCCGGTGGACATGGGCTCTAAGGCCCGCAGCAAACACCTGCCGGGAAGCGGGGAAGTGCCTCGTCTCACTGCACAGGAGGGTGCGGAGCCACGGCTGGAAGCTGCAGCGAAGTCGGTCTAGGCTGGAGATCAGGAAACACTTCACTGCTGGAGCGGGGAGAGACGCCAGGGGATGGGGGACTCCCCATTGCTGGAGCTAGTCAAGAAGGTGGATAACGATTGATTAGGGATGATCGAGGTGTTCTGCCTAGGCTCCACCCCGGGTATCTATAAGCCTTGGTGGGCACATGTGGCAGCCAGCAAAGCCCAGGAACCTGGGAAAACCAGACCCCTCCGCTCTGCTCCCAGCGTGGGGACCCACCCGTCACCCCTGACCGCACAGCCTGTCCCCCTCCCGAAACTTATCCCAGCCCCTCGCATCTTCTTTCCTAACCAAGCGGGTTGAGGAGCTCTGCTTCCTTCTGCTGGTGCTGAGCCCGGTCCCCTCCAGCACCTGCCTGCTGTGGGCTGCAGGGCTCCTGCGGTCGTGGACTGATGCCCCGGGTCCTTTTCTGCAGAGCTGCTGCCCAGCCCATCACTGCCAGCCTGCCCCGGTGCATGGGAGCGCTCCCTCCCAAGTGCAGGACCTTGCATTTGTCCTTGTTGAGCCTCATGAGCTCCCTTTTGGCCCAATCCTCCAATGCGCCGCGGTCTCTCCAAATCCCTGTCCCACCCTCCAGTGCATCTACATCCCCCAGCTTGGTGTCAGCTGTGGCTTGCAGCGGGTGCACTGCGTCCCATCTCCCAGGTCGTCGACCACGGAGTCCTTCCCTGCAGCGAGGGAGAAGCGCTGTTCTCACGCTCCTCGCTGGCAGCTTTTCATGCTCTCTGCTCCCCCTTCACCGCCTTCCCGCAGGCTAACCGCATCTCGCTGTCTCGCCCCGTCCTCGTACGGCTTTGCCTTCCTCACTGCCCGCCTCTGGGCCCTCTGCACTGCTCCACGTCCTCCTTAAAGTGCAGAGCCCAGAAGGGCACGTGCACCTTGTCCTGGCCGGGTGGAGACACCGTCCTCTCGCCGTTACTCGAGCTCCTGTAGGGCTCTACGGGAACGGGCCCCCAACCCCTGCATTTATTCTCGCCTGCCCCCAGCTCACGCCAGCGCTTCTCTCGCCCTCTGCCGAGACGTTCGTGTCGGGCTCGCTCACCCGCGCAAGTTCTTCCCTTTTACATTTGTCCTTGAATTTTTCACTGGCTGTTTTCATCCTCCCTTCGGTGGCATTTTGCTCATTAGTGGGTTTGCAGACATTTTTCTTATGGGCTCACCCATTGGTCAGGATCCCGTGCTGCTTTTCGGCACCGCAGCTGACTCCAGCGGAGCATAACGAGCCAGGCACGACCAGGACTCCTCCAGGGACGCCGAGCCAGCGCCAAGTGAAGCAGGGATCTGGCGCCGAACCAGCGCTCCTGTTGATGCAGCCCAAAACTGCATCGTTTTTTTATCAGTCGTTCACACTGCTCCCTCCCATTGCCGGGGGCCGCCCTGGCTCCAGCTTTGTTTAACAACTTCATCAAACAAGACTTTCGATACGGTCTCCCACAACATCCCTGCAAGGAACTTAAGGAAGTCCAAGTTGGATGAATGGACTGTAAGGGGGATAGAAACCTGGCTGGAGCACCAGGCTCAGAGGGTAGCAATCCAGGGCTCGATGTCTAGCTGGGGGAGTAGATATGCTGGAGGTCGGGCTAGGAGTCAGAGTGACCATGACACATTGGAGGGTTGGGCCAAAAGAAATCTCAGGAGGTTCAACAAGTGCAAAGTCCTGCACCGAGGAGGAGCAATCCCGTGCAGGCTGGGGCGACGGGCTGGGCAGCAGCTCTGCAGAAAAGGACCTGGGGGGACAGGGGACACGAAGCTGGACATGAGCCAGCAGTGTGCCCTTGGTGCCAAGGCGGCGACCGGCATCCTGGGCTGCATCGGCAGGAGCATTGCCAGCAGATGGAGGGCAGTGATTCTTTCCTCTATTAGCACTGGGGAGGCCACATCTGGAGTCCTGTGTCCAGCTGTGGGCCCCCACTACAGAAAGGATGTGGACACGTTGGAGAGAGTCCAGCGGAGGGCAATGAAAATGGTCATGGAGCTGGAGGACAGGACTGGTGAGGAGAAGCCGAGGGACCTGGGCTGATCGAGTCTGGAGAAGAGAAGACCGAGGGGGATTGAATAGCAGCCTTCACCTCCCTGCAGGGGGCTGCAAAGAGGATGGAGCTGGGCTGGTCTCAGTGGGGGCAGATGGCAGGACAAGGAGCAATGGGCTCAAGCTGCAGCAAGGGCAGTTGAGGTTGGATATTAGGACAATCCCTCTCACAAGGAGGGTAATAAAGCTCTGGAAGGGGTTACCCAGAGAGGTGGTGGACTCTCCATCCTTAGAGGTGTTGAAGACCTGAGTAGACAAAGCCTCGTCTGGGATGATGGAGCTGGGGCTGGTCCTGCTTGGAGCAGGGGTTGGACTAGATGTGACCTCCTGAGCTCCCTTCAACCTGATTTTCTACGATTGTAATGATTGGGGTGATCTGTGGCTGACACCAAGGGTGGCATTGCAGACACTGCAGAGGGCAGGGCCGGGATCCGGCGTGACCCAGAAACGTGGGAGAAATGGTGCACGAGCCATGAGCTGAGATTCAGCCAGGACAAGGCACGGCGCTGCACAGGAAACGAGAGACTCGCGGGCACAAACCCAGGCTGGAGCGACCAGCGCGGCTGCAGCGCTTCTCTGCTCTGCCCAGGCCTGCCGGGCCCAGCGCTCGGCCCCCGCTTCAGGAAGGACGCGGACAGGAGCCCAGCACAGGGCAACGCGTGCAAGCAGAGGCACGGCGCAGTCCTAGCCCAGCGCAGGGGGGCACGGCCGGAGCTCGGGTGCTGCGGGTCTCCAGCTTCCCGCTGCTCAAGCAGGGCCGTGGCTTGGAGCTGGACCGCGGGCTCCTGTAGCCTTGCTCCCCCCGTCTGCGTGCGGGGGACGTTGGCTGCTTTGGACGATGCCCGAGAGCCTCGGCAAAGCCGGGACAGCCGTCAGGGCAGCGCCGAGGCCACGCGCCTGCAAGATAAGCGAATCCTTCCATGCATCAACCTGGGGTGCGCAGCGAGGACTCCCCCCGCCAGACCCTCCCTCCCGGCTGTGCCAGACCCGTGCGGGGATTCTCCTGCAGTCCAAAGCCAGGTGAAGGTGCCTGCAGCCTACCAGGAGCAGGGGAGACCCCGAGTCTTCAGCTGAAGGCGCAGGCCTGGGGTGGGCCACGGGGCCCTGGCTGCAGCCCCCAGCCCCCGGGGAAGGCGGCTGCCCCAGGGCTCTGGGGGTGCTGAAGGAGCCCTGCCCTCCCCACAGCCCTTGCCCGGGCTCACCTGAGACAGCAGGACCCGCGAGCCCCTCCGCGGCCGGACGGAGGCCGGCACCGACACAGCCCCGCTCTCGGGACATCGACGGAGGGAGCAAGGACCGGAGCGCGGGGCACAGGGCAGCGAAGGAGCCTGTGGACGCTGGGGGGCAAAAGCATTCAGGAGAGCCGGCTGCACGGGGCGGGGGCTCGAGGGTGCTGGAGCAAGCCGACCCGCTGGGACGGAGGAACGGGAACCGCAGCTGCCGAGCGGCGATCCAGGAAGCTGAAGCTCCAGGATGGCAACGAGATGGAGATGCCCGGCTCTGCACGGGCGCACGGCGAGAAAGCCAGGAAGGCCAAGTCGCTGTTCAAGCTGCGGCTGGGCAGCGGCATAAAAGCAACGGCAAGGGCTTCTACAGGTGTCAGGAGGAGCAGACACCCGAGAGCTCAGACGAGGTCCCGGCGGACCGGACGAGGGCAGAAGTAGGGCGAAGGGGAAAACTATAGCAGACCAGCCGCCCCAACCTCCATCCCTGCAAAGACCAAGCAGCGGCCTGCGCTGCACCGGCCCAGACTCAGCGAGGACAAGTGCCAAGTCCTGCACGGAAGATGGGACCACGCGTGCAAACGGAGCCTGGGGCACGAGCGACCGGCCGTGGACGAGCCGGACCGGAGCGAGGGGCAGCTTCCCGGGCCCTACGAACAGCCACGGCACCCGCACGCGAGGGCAGCAATTCTCCGTCCTGCTCAGGTCAAGGACGCAGACGCGGACGCGCCGCCTGGGACAGACCTAGGGGAGAGGCTGGAAGAATTCATCCGAAGAGAAGCCCGAGAGGGGCTTTCATCACAGCTGGAAAATCCCTGAATACGGAAGACAGGCTTTTCTCCAGACAAGGAGCAACCGCCTCAAGCTGCAGCAGGGGAAACTGAGGCTGGGGAGGGAGGCCGGAGGGCCGGGCTGCCAACCCCCCACCTCCGAACCAGGGCAACTGGGCTCCGCGGGGCACGGGGGACAGCCCCAGCCGTCACAGACCGGCCCCAGGTGACCCCGAGGGCCTCCCGAGTCGCCTGCTCAGATCCCACAAGCAGCTGGAAGCCCCTGGCCCGAGAAAGCAGCTCCCGTTCGGTCCTGCAGACCGGGCCAACGGGGCCTGCACGGCCCAGCAAGGAAGCCCCCAGCCCGGCCCCACGCGGCGCAGCACCGAGGCCCAGGGGCTTTGGAAAAAGATGCTTTAATCAGTGGGTGTTTGGCAGATACAGTCTGGAGAGTGAAAAAGAGACCCGAGGTCAGACAAAGTGCCGGGGCCGTACCGTTACACCCACGGGGCCAGGGCGGCCCCCCTGCCCCTGGTGGGCACCAGCCCCAGGCCGGACCCCTGCACACCCCACGAGGGTGAAGCAGTCGCCAGTGGGGGACGGCGTGGGCTGCGCCAGGACGGAGGGGGCAGGGGGGAAACACACGTACACGCGTGGGACACAGGCGGGACGGACGTGTCCTACAATGCCCGTGCCGTCGCACCTCGTACCAGAGGGATGCCCAGGGCCCCGGGCAGAGGCAGCAGGGTGGAGGGAAGAGGGGGCCCAGGGTCCTTTGAGGTGCTGGGGAAGGGAGGGCTCTGCTCCCCGCTGGCCGTGGCTCCAGCCCCACGGGGGGGGGCTGAGCCTTTTCTAGCCCTACTGGCCCAAGCTGGAGCCCGTCTGGGAGGAGGAGGAGGAGGAGGAGGAGGGGGCACTACTGAGCCGAGGCCCACAGGCCCCTGGGGGATGCTGGTTGGGGGCTCTAATGCCACGTGGAGGAGGAGGAGGAGGAAAGGGTGGGGGGGCGGCCGCGGTGCCCGAGGCCCCTCCCCAGAGCAGTGCACTGATCCGACATTCAATGTGGCGGCGACGCGCGCAGGACGGACGCAAGGCAACTTGCCGAGACGGCAGCGCCGGAGCCGAGACAGAGTCCGGAGGCCGAGAGCAGCGGGAGCCAGCTCCCCCCACCCCGGGGCAGGGCAGGGCAGGGCAGGGCAGCCCCGCGGTCACTGGCTGCCCTCGTAGTTGAGCACGTAGTAGTCGTGGACGTACATGAGGACGGCGATCGGCTGCCCGATGATCAGCGAGATCCACACGGCCGCGTTGCCGTAGTTGCCCTGGAGGAACTTGCCCACGAACCAGGCCAGCGGGAGCTGGAGCGGGAGGGGAGCCGGGCCGTGAGCGAGGGGGCACCGGCTGGCCCTGCACCCCACGCCCGGTGTAGGGAGGCCGGCCCCGCGCTCACCCCCCCGGCCCGCTCACCTGAGCCATCATGCCCATGAAGGCCCAGAGCCGGAACATCCTCAGGGGCACGCTCACCAGGTACTGCGGGGACAGCCGGGGTGTCAGCTCCGCACGTGGCCCCCCACCACGTGCCCTCCCTCAAACGTGGTCCCAGCACCAGCTGGGGAGAGCTGGCAGCTGTGCCCCAAGCCCGAGCCAGCCCCGAGAGTCCGCTCCCACCCCCGGGCAAGCTCCTCCTGCCCCCATGGGGTTGTGTAGACAGGCAGGGCGCTGGAGACACCCCCAACCCCCCTGCAAGGCCACGGCTACACCCTCCAGTACTGCCCCGCACCCTACGGGGAACAGGCCAGGCGCCCACCTCGTGGAAGAAGGCCGAGAGCAGGAAGACGGCGGTGCGGGCCATCCACCGCCTGCAGCCATAGCGGATCATGGGGACGTAGAAGTGCCTGGGCACAGCAGAAGGAGAGGGGGTTACTGCCAGGCTTATTGGACCCGGGCCCCCCCAGGGCAGGAGCCAGCACCTGGCTGAGCCACGGGCACGTGAGGGGGTCTCTCCACAGCTCCCTGCACCCCACGTACCGGAGGCACCACTTGTGCACGGGGATGTTCCAGTTCTGCCAGAAGTAGGTCACCGACTCCGAGTTCCTGCGGGCACAGGGACCGTCAGCAGCCGGCGCCCAGGAAGCGGTTCCTTCCTCCCGGCGCCGGCCGGACCCGCGATTGCCACGCAGCCGCTGGGGCAAGGGGGCCCTGCTGCCCGCTCCACCCCCGCTCGGGCGGGGCCCGCCCACAGCAGAGGTGAGGACAGCCCCGGGGCTCAGCTTCCCGCCCAGGGACACTGCGGGGGGCTGAACATCAGTCCTGCCCAGGACTGGGGCAGACCCCAGGTCCATCGTGCTAGTCTCCCGTGTCACAAGGGGGAGTGACCCGTCTGAGCAGGGTTTTCCCGTTCCTCTCGCCCCTGCAGCCCCCAGCGCTGAGGTCCAGGCAGGGCGATGCGGAGGCCGTGCCCCTCGCTCCCTGCCCCAGAGCTACCGATCGATGCCCCTTTCCTCCACGCACGTGTCCGAGCCCTGGTGAGCGTGGCTGAGCTCTCGGCTCCCATCACCCCTGGGGCCACAAGTCCACCCTTTCCCCCCCAGTGTGGCATGAAGAGACCTTGCTGGTGTTAGTGTTAAACTGCAACCTGCTCGGCCCGTGTGTGACCCTCGTTCTTTTCTGGTAAGAAACGGTCACTAATAAACCCCTGCCGACTTGTCACCGGTGGGAGCGTAACGCCTCCACGGGGGGGCAGACAGACAGACCCCCCTCACCCCCCGGACTGGTACCGGCTCCACAGAGCCGTGGTAGAGAAGGGGCTCCCCCACGGCTGGGTGCACCAGCCTGGACCCCGCCCCTTCCGGAGACCCCGAATGAGACCCGCACTCACCACCAGTCCCGGTAAAACTCACGGTCCCCGAAGCGCAGCACCTCGGCCACCGCGTTCATGGAGGAGTGGAACAACCAGTAGAAGAAGATGAGCCAGATGAAGTGGTTGGGGACCTGTGGGGAGAGAGGCAAGACCATGAGCAGGCTGGGGGCTGCGCTGGATCCCACTCCCCGGAGCCGGCGCTGCCCAAACACGCGGCTGCTCCAGCCCAGCACTCACCGCCAGCTTCAGGAGGCGCTCGATGATCCTGGAGTAGTCCATGTCCTGCGAAGGGCACTGCTGTCAGAACTGCCCAGGCTCCGGGAGGGGCAGGGAAGTGCCAGACCCCCGGGCAGCGCCAAGCAGAAGCCCCTGTGGCCAGGTTGCGGGGGGAAAGGGGGCTCTGCACGCCTGCCCCGTGCCAGGGCCGGTCACTCACCCGAAAAGGCTTCATAGAGTTCTGGATCGTGGGGACCATCCACTGCAAGAGACGGAGCAGGACGGTCTCAGGGCCCGGCGCAACCCCTCCAGGCTGCCCCAGCACCACGGACGGCATGCCCTCCCCTCCGCGGCAGCTTTCTGGCCTGCTCCGAACCGAGCCGTGGCCAGGCCAGAGCAGCCCCAGGGACAGGACAAGGCCTCGTGCCCCCCAGAGCACAGATCCTAGCATGTCCTGGGGCCGCCCCTCGGTCTGCCCTAGCAGCGTGGCCCCACTCGCTCCCACCCTGCAGGGGCCCGGGGTCTCGGGGTTCCCACCCGCAGGGGAAGCGCAGCCACCTACCTGCTGTATCAGCCCCACGATGAGCTGGGTGAAGAAGAGCTAGGACAGAGAGCAGCGTCAGCGCCCGGTTCGTGGCCCCTCGGCCCCTCCAGCCCCCGGGGGCACAGCCCAGCAACCGGCTGAGAGGAGCCCTGAGCCCCCAGGCACCCTGCAAGGGGCCTAAGCCTCAGCCATGCCAGCCTGTGGGTCCAAACTGCTCAGCACGCAGGTGTCGTGCTGGCTCAGACCAGCCTAGGCAAGAGCCCCCCTCTCCTGGTCTCCTCCCAGCCAGAGCCCAGGGGCTGCTCTGGCCTGTGCTGCCCCAGCCCCGGGGAGGGGACAGGAGGAGACCCTGGAGCAGGGGGAGCAGAGCTGGCCCCAGGCACAGCCACCTCACCATCTCAATGAGCCGCCGGAGCAGGAACCGCTTGCGTATCCGGGGGGAGCGCGGGAAGTTCAGCTCGTAGCACAGCGTGGGGGCCAGGAGGAAGTAGTACAGGTCTGCAGGGCAGCGGGCGCCAGGTGAGGCCCTGCCTGGCAGGGACTGGCTGTGCAGGGGTGGGGGCATGATGGTCCCCTGGGTGACAGCCTCCCGCCCTGCCCCCAGGTCTGGGCCCTGCTGGGCATCGGCCTCCCCAGGGGCTGGAGATGGGGAGAGATCCGAGGATCCCAGAGCCATGGGGCTAGCAGGAAGCTGCAGGGTCACATCCAGTCCCGAGGCAGGATCAGCCCCCGCAGACAAACCCCCATGTCTGACATTGGAGCCTCATGACAGCCCCCGACAGCCCCCTGCCCCCAGGATATAGGGAGGCCAGCGCCACCTATGTCCTACTGCTACTGGGGGGTCACGGGCACTGCAGAGAGCCCAGGCCCAGGCCGTGTCCCCGCTGCAGAGGAAGGCAAAACCCCCCAGTGCAACCAGTCTGCACAGGGGGAACTCCCTTCCTGCCCCAGTGCACCAGGGCTGAGCCTGAGCACGGGGGCAAGACCCTCCAGCCAGGACCCTGCGGGGTGGGTGCCGGCAGAAGCATTGGCCCAGCCCAGCCCCATCCCCGGCCTGGGCTGCAGCACCCAACATCTCTGGGGGAGGCTTAAACCTCCCGAGACGTGCTGGAATGGGCTGTCCCCAGGACCATGGTCTCCCTGGCAGGCCTGAACACCGTGGGTACAGACTCCCCCCCGCCGCAGCCAAGGGCCAGGCCTGCCCCATGGAAAAGCTTTGAGGCTCTGGCCCAGCCACCCCCAGCCCAGGGCAGAGGCCTGGCGACATGCACCCTCCCTGCATGTGGATACCAGGTCTCCTGCTCACTGTGCAGGCAGGCCGGCCGGCCGGCCCCCTAGTACCTTTGTAGCTAAGGTTGGCTGGATAGGACACGCTGCTCTCCACCACATCCCCGTTCGCCGTCTTCTGTCCAGATGCTGCAAAAGGAGCTGCCGTGAGGCATGGGGGACCCTTTCCCAGTCCCGGGGTGGGCTTGGGGCAGCTGCTCCCTGACTGCTGGGGCCTCTGCGCTGCACTTCGCAGGCGCTGGGAGAGCGGAGTGCCCAACTCACCCGAGTTGCGCTTCGCAGGTGCTGGGGAAGTGCCCAACTCCCCCAATCGGGCGCTCTCGTCCTTGGCCCGCTGCTCACGGCACCATCTGTTCACATCGCGGAAGGAGAAGAGCTTGAGGAAGACGATGGTGTAGGTCAGCAGTGCGAACAGGGCCCCCACTGGGGAGAGAAGAGCCGCGGCGGGGTGGGCGCCAGCTCACGACGTGCCCTTGCCCCTCACGCCCGCCTCAGCCAGGGACCCGGATGCATCTCGCACCTACACCCTGGGCAGCCGGGATCAGCTCTGCCAGGAGCTGGGAGCCAACACCAGCCTCCAGAGAACCCCCCCACCCCCCCCGGAGGTTGCCCCATGCCCTACCTGGGGTGGCCGAGGACACGGTGAGCACGACCAGGGCAGGGAAGCACAGGACAGTCAGCAGGTTGAGGCTGTGCAGGACAGAGCCGCTGCGCTCCGAGATGGTGCCCTGCGGGGCGAGAAGATTCGCGGGCTCCTGAGGCTTCTGCCAGGCCCCCTCCAGACAGAGCAAGCCCTGGCGCAGGCCCTGGCGCAGGCCCAGCTGCAGCCGCCGCTGTCACGTGGAGCTGGGCAACTAGCCTGGGACCCAGCTGAAGTGCCCACTGCTACCAGAGCCGGGGGCCAGCACAGCAGACCCGTCCCAGCTCCAGGGAGCACCGACACCAGCCTTGCCATCCTGGGGCTGCCTGGCCCCTAAACCCCCGCCAAGGGGGTCACTGCCAGGGTCCCCCACACCCTGGAGCCAGGCTCCTTCCTGCAGGAGCCACAGCAGCACCTGGCAGTCTGATGGCCCTTATGGAGGTGCTCCCCCTTGCTGAGGGGTCCCTGCCTTCCCCAGAAGAGGACGCAGGGCTATTACTGGGATACCACCCCCCACCAGCCCCAGCTCCGTCCCCGGGCAAGCACAGCGTGGAAGCAGGCGGGCTCACCGCTGCCAGGCGCTTCTCGATGTGCAGAGCAGTCAGCACAAACACGTTGGACACTGCGGAGAGACGGGCTGTGAGCACACGCAGGCTCCCAGGCAGCTGGGCCCCTCCGCCTGCTGCCGTGGGCACTGCTGCCCCTCCCCAGCACCAAGACCCGGGGACAGCACCAGGCACTGGGCAGAAGGAAGCGTCTGCCTGGGCCTCTGTGCACACAGCACACTGCTGCCAAGGGGGAGCTTGAAGGCCCTCGTGCCCCTGGGGTCAGCTGGGGCCACAGCACCATGCCTACAGTGCCACAGAGCAGGGCTGTAGCCAGGTCCCTGCCCTGGGACGTGGCAGGTGGAGCCGGCCAGAGGGGCCAAGCCGCCCAGGGCCCACGCCAGCCAGCAGCTGCAGCCAGAGGCTCCGACAGACCTGCGCGCTCCTGCTACAGAAGCCCCATCACCGGGTCGCAAGCAACATCCCCACAGGGACCAGCCCAGCCAGGGACTCCAGCTGCAAGCAGCCCCGTGTCAGCTCACCCTGCTACCCCCCACCCCCACCGGGGCTCGCCGGAGACTCACGGATGACCAGGCACAAGGAGGGCCAGCTGTAGGGGTCCTTCAGGAACAGGGAGACCACCTGGATCGGGTCCACCAGGATGCCGTACCTGGAGGGGAAGGAGCCTCGTGAATGGGGTGGGAACAAGGGTGCCCCAAGCCGGGTCCCCCTCCAGCCAGTCGAGCCCCACTCTCCTCCCATCCCAGAGCGCAGGGAGCGACGGAGCCACCGGCTGCAGCGGTGCACTCGTGCCACGAGGTGGCGGCCTCCTCCCAGCCATGCCCGGCAGCCCGTACGGCCCGTCCAGGGACGGGGCCAGAGCGCTGCTGGGCTCCAGCGTGCAGACACACACCAGGCCAGCTCCAGAGGGACCCGGGCCGGTGACAGCAGCTCCAGCCCGCGGGTCCAGGTGGAGGAGGGTGGGGGCGAGGCTCAGCACTCACTTGATGAGGTTTTCCAGGAAGAGCCGGGCGTTGCTCAGGACCTGCAGGAGAAGCAGCCACAGCGTTACACCGACCTCACCTAGAGGGTCCATGGCACCGTCTCGGTGTCCAGAGCCACCCCCTGCCCCGGCCACACCAGCCCCAGGGAAGGGAGCATCGTGGGCCGGTGTTTGAGTCTTCTCCAGGCACCCCTCACTCCCGAGGCATAGAGACTCCCACTGCAGCCCCTCACGGCAGGAGCATTTGAGCAGGGACCCTCCATGCAAGACAGCCACAGAGAACCAGCGAGCCCAGGGGCTGGCAGGGAGCTGCAGGGTCGTGTCCAGGCCTGAGGCAGGATCGGCCCCAACTCCACAGACAAACCCCGTGTCTGATCTCGGAGCCACATGACAGCCCCAAGCATTGCCCCCGACCCCAGGAAAGGAAGGGGGCCGCAGCCACCGACGTCCTGCTGCCGCCGGGAGGCAGCATAGACGCTGCAGAGAGCCCAGGCTGAGGCCGTGCCCCGGCTGCAGAGGAAGGCAAACCCCCCCAGTCTGGGCCAGCCCGAGCAGGGGAGAAATCCTGTCCTGCCCCAGTACAGCGTGGGGCTGAGCCTGAGCGTGGGGGCAAGACCCTCCAGCCAGGACCCTGCGGGGTTGGTGCTAGAGGAGCACTGGCACAGCCCAGCCCGGGCTGCAGCACCCAGTGCCTCTGGGGGAGGCTTCAAAACCCCCTGACATTTGGCAGGAGCTCCCCCCTGCCAGGTAACCAGGTGCTGCAGGGGAGCTGCGACCCCGGGCACCGCCAAGGCCTTACTGTGCAAGCCAGGGCCCTGCACCCGGGCCAGGCTGGACGGGGGTGCCTGTGCCGGCAGGAGCCCAAGATGTGGCTGTTGCCCTGCCCTGGGGGCCGGGATCTCCAGTCCAGGGCACGAGCCTTGCACAGCAACTGCCCTTGCTCTGGCCACCCTGCACCAGGGAAAACATCCCTGCCCCAGCCAAGAGATGCAAGGTGCGAAGGGCAGCAGCCTGGAGCCCAAGGGCAGACCCAGCTGTGACCCCACGAGAGGGTCTGGCCCCGGGGTCACCACGTGGCACAGCCCTGAGCCCCCGGCACCTCCAAGCGCCCCGTCACCAGGGCACCACTGGGGCTGGCCAGGTCATCGGTTCATAGATGTAGGGTCAGAGGGCACCTGAGCATCAAGTTTAACCCACTGCCCTGGGCACGAATGAATACGGCTCATATGACCCCTGGTAAGTTTAAGCTCATATGACCCCAGCTAGGAATTAATCCAGCCTCCTTTTAAAAAGACCCCCAGGGTCGGAGCCAGCACCACTTCCCTTGGAAGCTGGTTCCAGATCCTGGCTGCCCTGACTGCAGCAACGCCTCCTGACGTCCAGCCTGAACCTGCCCTCAGTCAACTTATGGCCGTTATTCCTCGTTACTCCAGGAGGTGCTCAGGGGGACAGGGTCTCACCCTTTCCCTATCGGGCCCCCTGGTGAGTTTATAGATGGCCACCAGGTCCCCTCTCAGCCTTCTCTTGTGGAGGCTGAACAGGTTCAGGTCCCGTCGCCTCTCCTTGTAGGGCCTGCCCTGCTGCCCCCTGACCATGCGGGTGGCCTCCTCTGGCCCCTCTCCATGCTGCACCTCCTTGGACTTGCTCGAGATGCATCCGTGGATGCACGACAAGGTGCGGTTGGCCTTCCTGACCGCGTCCCCACACTGTCGGCCCGTGTTCATTGTGGCATCAATACTGACCCCAAGATCCTTTTCTGCCTCTGCACTGACGAGAAGGGAGTTCCCCAGCTTGTAGGTCTGCTGCTGGTTCTTCCTCCCCAGGTGCAGCACCTTGCACTTGTCAGTGTTGAACCCATCCTGTTCTCATCCGCCCACCCCTGTGACCTGTCCAGGTCCAGCTCCAGCTGTATCCTGTCCCTCCCTTCTAGCATGCCCACCTTGTCCCAAATCTTGGTGTTGTCTGCGAATTTGAACAAGGTGCTTTTCACCCCCTCATCCAAGTCCCTAATAGAGATTGAACAGTGCGGACCCGAGGACCGAGCCCTGGGGAACCCCACTGCCCGCATCCCTCCAGGTCAAAAGAGACCACCACCACCCTCTGGGTGCGGCCCCTCAGCCAATTTGCCACCCATCTGACTGTGTAGGCATCAGTGCCACAGTCACCTAGCTTTTTGATGAGAACGGGGTGGGAGACAGTGTCGAAGGCCTTCCTGAAGTCCAGAAAGACTATGTCCACCGTGACACCTGCGTTCAAGGATTGTGTGACCTGGTCGTAGAAGGCCACCAGGCTGGTCTAACAGGACCTGCCCCTAATGAACCCCTGCTGGTTGCCCCGAGCATAATCTCCCCTGCCAACACCTCACAGATGTGCTCCTGCATAATTCTCTCAAAGAACTTCCCCAGAACTGAAGTAAGACTAACTGGCCCATAGTTGCCCAGGTCCTCCCTCTTCCCTTTTTAAAGATGGGGACCACAATGTCCTTCTTCCAGTCATCCGACATCTGGCCAGAGCACCATGAGCGCTCGTAAAGCCGTGCCAGGGGTCCCACGCTGACCCCTGCCAATTCCCTCAGCACCCTGGGGTGGAGGTCATCTGGACCTGCTGATTCGAACACGTCCAGCCCCTCCAGAAGTTCCCTAACTCGGTCCTCCCCACCCCTAGACCTGGCGGTGCCTCTCCCGAGTCCATCCCGAATGCCAGTGGGGGAGAAGTCCCGGCCCCACTCAGAAAAATGGAGGCAAAGAATTTGTTAAAAAGGTCTGCCTTTTCGTCTGGTGCAAACACCAGATTGCCCAGCGTGTCCCGCAGGGGCCCCACGTTGCCTGGCGCCTTTCTTTTACTCCCCATGTATTTAAAGAAGGACCTTTTGTTGTCCTTGATCCTTGTTGCTAGCCTTACTTCCGTCTCTGCCTTAGCCTTCCCGACAGCCTCCCTACAGACTCGAGCAGTGGAGGTGTACTCCTCTCCTTGGTGATGGCTCCTCCCTTCCACCCGGTGAACGCCTCCTTTTTGGCTTTCAGACATTCCCGAGTGCCTTTGGTGAGCCAGGGGGGCTTTTGAGCACTCTTGCCCCCTTTGACTCACGTTGGGACTGTGACCCCTTGGGATCGTCTCCTTAAGGAACGGCCACTCGTCTTGGACACCCACTTCCCCTCCCCTCCGGGACCGCAATGCCTCTCCTACCAATCTCCTCAGCTCATCGAAGTCGGCCCTCCCGAGGGCCCTTGCCACCCTGTGGTGCTGGAAGGTGAATCCCAGCAGGCGATGATCGCTATCGCCCAGGTGGTCGAGCACCTGCAGACCCAGGTTGTCGCCCGTGGCCAGCACCAGGAGGTCCAGGAAGGCATTTCCCCTGGTGGGGCCGTGCGCCTCCTGGGCTAGGCAGAGGTCTTGAATTGCAGTAAGGAAGCTATGCGAGCGGTCCGACCCGGCTGACTGCTCCTCCCAGCAGATGTCCGGGTGGTTTAGGTCACCCACGACAACCACATCCCTTAATTGCCTCTGCGAGCTGACCGGAGAACTCCCAGTCCAGCTCTTCCCCCTGGTTGGGGGGGTCTGTAGTAGACCCCCACCATTAAGTCCCTTTCCCCCCCTGGCCTCCCTGTCTCCTGACCCAGAGCACTTCAGCCTGCCCCTCCTCCGACCCCATCCCGTTAGCTGAGGACGTGTATTGCTCTTTGACATAGCGTGCCACACCCCGCCTTTCCCCCAGCCGCACATCCTGGGGAGCTGCTCCAGGGACCCCGCGCCCAGCACGCCCCGTCACGGGCCCACGGACAGTCCCTGCAGGCATCGCCCCCCCCCCAGGGCAGGAGCAAGGCCAGCACAAGGGCAGGATCTGCTCGTGCACAGCAGGTACGGTGGCCACGCAGCTCCGCGCACACACACCACGCAATCCCCAAGTTCCTGCCGCACCAGGCCTCGCATCCAGGAAGGAGTTTCACCACCAAAGCTTTTCAACAGCTGTTTCCTTCTCATGCTCTTTCCCAACCCGGCCAACCCTGCTGCTACGAGCCGGTGCAAGGGTCGCTAGAGCTCGCATGGGGAGATAAGGCACCGCGCTGCACCCGGGAGGGGTGCTGGCTCAGCCAGCGCACGGCTCCAAGGGCAAGGAGAGCCAGGTCCGCCCAGCTGCCGCGATGGGCACCCCCTGGGCACGGCATCTCCAGTGCGAGAAGCAGCAAAGCCAGCTGAACCCCTGCCTGGAGCACCCCTGGATGGACTCCAGCTGGGTCGGCTCCGAGGAGGGCACCCCAGGGCGGCTGGCAAGGGCACCCTGGGGTCCTGCCAGCCTGTCCCCAGCTGGCAAGATGCACATACAGCTCCTTGAGCTGGAGCGAGCCGCAGCAGGAGCCTGCTGACGAGCGACAGAGGCAGGTCAGCCTCTGGGAGCCGGGCAATACGGGGGCAGGCGGCGGGCGATGCGCACCAGCGCCCGAGCGGGTCAGCCAGCACAGCAGCACAGACCTGGGGACAGCACGTGCCGGGTACCTGGCCTGGCAGGACCCCGAGCCGTGAACCAAGCAAGGGGTCGTGGCCCAGGACAAGTACACGGGGGCCCGGCCAGGCCCTGCGTGCACGCGGGGAAGACTCAGCTGTGGTTTGCAGGCCGCAGCGGGCTGGCCACAGGGTCCGAGCCCTGCGCCAGAGCCGACTCAGGCCAGCGGGGTCAGGGCCAGGACGCACCACGCACGCCTGAAGCAGGAGGATGCTGCACCCAGGGACCCTCCACTGCCCCCCCAGACAGCAAGGCCCAGGCTGGCCTCTCCGCGCAGCTCTTGCTCGAGTGCTGGTGCCAGGTCGCACGCTTGGCCCCGCCGGAGGAAGCAGGGGCTTGTGCAACACCGGTGTGAGGAGAGGACCAGGGGCAGGCGATTGTGCGACGCATCCTGCACCCTGGCGGCCCCAGGGCCGGGTCCTGCCTGGGAACGGGGCGTCCTGTACCGAGCGCGCCCGCACACCGCTGCCGCCTCTCCTTGCGCCAGGCTCTGCGCAGCTCTCGCCTCCGTCTCGGCCTCCCCGGGGAGGCAATCCGGGGCACCTGCCCCCCCCACCCCAGTCCTGCGTGGCGTCCTGCAGAAGCGGGCGGGTCGCGCCCACTCCCAGCCCTGCCCGGACAGCCCCGCGCCCGGCCGGGCGACCACTCACCAGCATGATGACGCACCAGTTGAGGACGCCGCGGTAGTTGCTGTAGCCGCTGGCGGAGCTGAGCAGC